TCTCCTCCCCGCTCAGCCCAGGCCCACCACCTCCTCCGCCCGCCCCCGGCTCTCAGAAGGCCCTGGAAAGGCTGCTTTCTTTGAGACAGGAAGGTGTCCTCAAGTCTCAGGAAGGAAAAACAGTCAAGCTGAACCCACCAAGACCGTCTCCAAGGGGCCGGGGCTGGCGCCTGGCCAGGACTGACATCACCTGGGAACTGCCGGAGCCGGAGCCGCAGCTGCAACACGCCTCCTGGGGGGACGCGCTTTTGCTATTTAAAATAATAATAATAATTTTAAAAAAACATTTCCAGTCTGGTGTTTTTAAATGTGCTTTTTATAGTGGGCCCTGCAGTGTGGGTGTGTTGGTGTCCCCCCTCTTCTTTCTCCACACGTCCTGACTTTCACACCACGGCAATGTAGCCTTTCACCAATTCCAGCGAATTCCTGGGAATTCGGGGTGGAACCTCCTGCCAGTGTCTGGCCCACCCCCTCAGATGATCTCTTATCTATCTATCTAGATATATTTCATTTTAATTTATAGAAAAATATCAAAAATATTTGCTCACGGTAACAAATTCAAAAGGTACCTAAGAGCATCAGGCGAAAGTATGTCTCTCCCTGCCTCCCAGGCAGCCCTTCCTTTACCCAGTGCTCACTCTGTGCCAGGCACTCTTCTAAGCAATTATCTAATATTAACTCATTTAATCTTCATAAAGAGCATATGAGTAGGGTTTCCATTGGCGGCTGTCTTGTGAATATTGCTGAAGATATTCTATGTATATAGAAGCAAATCTAGATCTATGACCTTTCCCAATCTCTCTCTTTAAAAACACAAATAGATGCTTTTTATATACCCTGGTCTGCACTTTGCTTCTTTTTATTTTTTTTTTCTTTGTTAATCCTCACCCGAGGATATTTTTTTCATTGATTTTTGGAGAGCGTGAAAGGGAGGAAAAGAGGCAGGGGAGAGAGAGAAACATTGATGTAAGAGAGACACAACAACTGGTTGCCTCCCGCACACACCCCGACCAGCACCAAGGATTGAACCTGCAACCCAGGTATGTGCCCTTAACCAGGAATCGAACCTAAGACCCTTTGGTGTGAGGACTGATGCTCTAACCACTAAGCAAACTGGCCAGGACTGCTTCATTTAAAAAAATATAATGGAATGATTCCATGTTGTGCATACAGAGGTTCCCCATTCACCTTCATAGCTGCCTATTATTCCCTTATAAGGGAGGATGTACCATAACATAATTAAGGTGTCCACTATTGGTGGACATGAAGGATGTTTCCAATCATTTTTTTTTATTGAATTTATTAGGGTGACATTGGTTAATAAAATTATATTACATTGTTTCAGGTGTACAGTTCTATAATACATAATTTATATATTGGATTGTGTGTTTACCACCCTAAGTCAAGTCTCCTTTCCCCCCTTTTTACTCTTTTCTTCCTCCCCCTACCCCATTTCCCTCTGGTAATCACCATACTGTTGTTGTCTATGACCAATGTTTTCTCTTAGGAATAATGCAGCAATGAATAGACAGAGTGATTTTCTAAAAGCATAGACCTCATCAGTCCACTATTTAATATATATATATTTTTTTATTGATTTTTTACAGAGAGGAAGGGAGAGAGACAGAGAGTTAGAAACATCGATGAGAGAGAAACATCGACCAGCTGCCTCCTGCACATCTCCCACTGGGGATGTGCCCGCAACCCAGGCACATGCCCTTGACCGGAATCGAACCTGGGACCTTTCAGTCCGCAGGCCGACGCTAAGTCCACTATTTAAAAACTCTCCATCCTTCTCCTTTGTATGCAGAAGGGCATCTGAAATGGAGGGGTATCAAGAATCCCTCCGAGACTCTGATGAAAGCTCCCCAAATGAACCTGCTCCCCAAAAGAAGCTCATGGACAATTGGCCTTCATGTGAGGTTCAGGGACCCCTGGAAACCCCACTCATGGAGGCAATAATGCCTATACACCTCCCCCAGCTGTAAGGTGTGGCCATGGCTTTGAACTGGGCAGTTTGGACTGACAGCTCTTCTGCTTCAGAGTTACAGGGCCTTGGGAAAATGGCTTAATCGCACCAGAGCTCAGTTCTCTCATCTCTAAAATGGGGCTAATTATGGCAGCTTCCTCCTAGGATTGTGAAAAATAGATTGGATTCAGACTCTGAAGTGTTTAGCCTGGCACACAGCAAGTCCTCAGCCTAGATTGGCTGGCGGTGATTCTGACTGTGGTGGTGGTGGTGGTGACCATAGTGGTAGTGGCAGTGGTGGTGGGATTGTTCTTATAAGATAAATTCCAAACTCATTCATTTATTCAACAAATATTTATTGAGAACACACTGTAGACAGGGACTTGGGAAGGACTACTTCACTAAGGGAAGGACTACTCAGAGGTGTGGAAAGCCCCTGGTGACCAAGGTGAGGGCTGGTTGGGGGACGGCCCAGAGGCTGGTTGGAGGCCACTCGGGTCATCCATGTAAAAATGATGACCTCAAAAAAAATAATAAAATAAAATAAAAAGGATGACCTCAACTAGGTAACAGTCATGAAGGCAGGCAAAAGAGGGCAGCAGCCAGCAGAGATATACAGGAAGCAGAGGTGAAATAAATACCTCAATTAAGAGACTGATTGAGTGTGGGAGAGAGGGAAGAGTTGAGTAAAAAGGGTCAGTTCATGCCCCTCCCCTGCCCAGTCCTGCAAGGGCTTCCCATCACTCTTACAATGAAATCCAAGGTCCTCTCCTGGGGTGCCAATCTCTGCTGCCCTTATCACCTCATCTCCCTCCCGCTCCCCTTGCTCTCTGAGCTCCAGGCACACCAGCCTCCTAGCAGTTCCTGGAACACACTGGGCCCATTGCCATCTGCCTAGAATGCTCTCCCCTCACCTACCTCAAGGCTTGCTAATTTCCTTCATTCAAATCTCTGCTCAAATACCACCTTCTCAAGGAGGCCTGCCCTGACCACCCAAGCTAGAACAACACTCCTCCACCAATCTTTTGTTTTGGGTGTGGTAACATATACATAACATACAATTCTCAATTTTAACCATTTTTAAGTGTACAATTCCATGGCATTAAGTACATCCACAATGTTGTGCAACCATTTTCATTGTCCCAAACATCTTTCCACCAATCTTTATCCCCTTGTCTTAGTTTTTCTTCATATGTCATTACTACCTGACTCTACTAGTATGATATTTATTTATTTATTTATTTATTTATTTATTTATTTATTTATTTATTTATTTATTTATTTATTTATTTATTTATTTATTTATTTATTTATTTATTTATTTATTTATTTATTTATTTATTTATTTATTTATTTATTTATTTATTTATTTATTTATTTATTTATTTATTTATTTATTTATTTATTTATTTATTTATTTATTTATTTATTTATTTATTTATCTTGTTTACTGCCTGTCTCCTTTGACTAGAATGGAAACTACAAGAGGACTAGGACTTTGCCTGTGTTGTCCACTGCTATCTCACCAGCCCTTCAAGAGTGCCAGGCACATAGTAGGTGCTTCATAAATGATTGTGGATAACTGATGAAGGAAGGAGGATGCAGGCAAAGGAATAGACTGATTTTCTGCACAATTCAGGCACATGCCTCCCTACCAGTCCCTTTCCCACCACTTCTCTACCCTCCCCCTTCTCCCAGCCACCTTGCAGGTTCCACTGCCAGGCCTTTGCCTGAGCTGCTCCCCTCATTGGAAATATTGTTTCTTCTTCATGCATCAAAATCCTCTTCATTTTTCAATACCCTACTCAAGTCCTACCCCCATCAGAAAGGATTTCCAGCCAACTCTTCATCACCACAACTGCTCTCCTTTTCCAACGTTCCCACGTGTTTCTGCCTGGAATTGGCCAGTTCTCTTTTGGTTGTAAGTGACAGAAATCCAACTTAAAGTGGCTAATGGGAAAAAAAAAAAGATAAGTGATTGGTTTCCAGAACAGACTTCAGGACACTGATTTTATGGCTGAATGCAGATGATCTTAGGATATCATTAGAACTGTCTCCATGTCAGCTTCATTCTCAGAGAGCCTCCCTCTGTTAGAGACAACGATGGCTGCCAGCAACTCTGGATCACAACTATCCTTTCAGAGACTCCTTTGGAGTGGGCCATCTTCCTAGCAGTTCCAGCAAAAGTCCTGGGGAAAGTCCCCATTGGCCTGACTTGCGCCATGTGTCCAACTTTATGCCAATCCCTATGGCCAGAGGAATGAAGCATTCTGATTGGCCAGGCCTGGTCATGTGCCCACCTTTGATGTGGATGTGGGGTTTGCCTGGCCTGAGCTACAACAAGCAAGAGTGGGGGAGGGATGGTTTCCCAAAAGAAAATGGGGAAATGAACACTCTGCAGGCAAAAGCCCTAGATGTCGTTAGCAATGTCTGTTGGAGCACTTGCCACACTGCCTCCAGGAACTTGAATTATTTGTGTAGGATGTGTCTTTCCCCTGAGTCCCCTTGGGGCAAAGTCCAGCACCCAGTGCAGGATCTAGCACATGCTCAGTGCTTGATGAAACCCAACGTGCTTCTCTCCTCTCCATCAAGGCCCAGGCCCTTTTTGTCCTCCGGATGTGACTTGGCCAGCTTTGGAGGACCCAGTGTAGTGGCCAGGCCGATGAGAGTGCACACGATCTCTGGCCCTTGCCCAACCCCTCTGGCACAGGTTGTCCCCACCACAGAGGGACCAGGCAGTCCAGTTCTCAGTCCGTGTCATTAGTGTGCCCTTGAGAAAGTCCCTTCCCCTCAGTAAGCCTGTGGTCCCTTCTGTTAAGTAGGGGCTGGGAGAAGCATTAGACCTGAGAGGCATTTCATCCTTTTCAGCCATCACACTCCTCTTCATTATTCTTTTCATGTCTGGGTACCACCTGTGCTGCCAGTTACATAACATGTTCTTCTTTAAACAGACCCTCTTTTAAAAACATAAAAATATTCATTTCAAAAGGGAACTTTAGATCCCTCCATAAATGGAAAACCAGTATCCCGTGCCATAAATAGAAGGTAACCATAAAAATAAGTACAATGAAAACAAAACAATGTCATTAAATTCTTGCCAAATCCGGCTGCCTGCAGAAGGCTCCGAGGTGGAGGCTGGCTCCCTGCTAAAAAGGGAAGTAAGTGTTAAGAGAGGTGTTAAAAACACACCAGCATTCCAGGGAGACTTTCTCCTTCAGAACAAGCTGAAGGAGAAATGGAAAGGGAGGAAGGCTCTCGCTCTGGGCTTTGCTGCTCTTTAGTTGGGTGGGGCTCCACCCAGCAGCAGCTCAGGCAGAGCCCATGGCACCAGCCCTCTCCTAGGAAACAGTGAACCTTGCTATCTCTTCCCATGGAGGGGCTGTGCCTTCCCTGCATGCAGGCCAGGTGGGCGGTCAGAGCCCCAGCCAGGATGAAGCCCAAGTCGGCCTCTGATTCAAGTTTCAGGATAAATGAGAGACGGATAGACAAATCCCTACCAGCTCAGTCCTAACTACCCTCACCAAGCATAGCCTTGGGCAATAACAATACATTTTTTCATTTGCATAAATTTGCTTGAAGAAACTCTGGAACGATCAGAAACTAATAAAAGTGGTGGGAACCAGGAGTGAGAATGAGACTTTGACAATATCTTTATTTATATATTTTAAACCGTATGAATATATATGGTTTAAATATACTCCATTTTTAAATAATAAAGATAAATATTTGTTAGTCTGTTGTGTAAGCGGATTTGATGTTAGGCACTGTGAGTTCATTCATTCCTTTCATTTATTTACTCTCTTATAAACTAATCGATTCAATGGCATCAGCACAAACCACTGAGGCTTTATTTGTTCATTGTTCATTTATTCAGTCAACTAATGTTTATCAGACTCTGTGACTTTTTCACTTTGTGGGGATACATTGGTGGTAACTCCTGTTCTCAAGGAACTAACAGTGTAAAGGGGGAAGCAGGGGCCTGACAGACAAGTGAGCCCCACAACTTGTGCTGTAGAATCTTGTACATTCTTCTGGGTGGGGAGTAAGGGGCGGTGAGGGAAAGTCAGGAGTAGCAAGGATGAGGCTGGACAGCTCATGGGGCCACATCAGGAAGCCTGGTCACCAGGGAGAGGAGTTCAGGCATTATGCAGCAGGAAATGGGGTTGTCTTTGATGCTGAGATAAATCCCACCTCATACCTGCCCACTCCCACAAAAGGCCTCTCCAGTCCAACATTCTCTTCATTTCCAGGGCCATCTTTCTTTATATATATATATATATACACACACACACACATATTTATTTTATTATTATTATTATTACTACTACTATTACTACTACTACTACTAGAGGCCCGGTGGAAGAAATTCATGCATGGGAGGGGGCGTCCCTCAGCCTGGCCTGCACCGTCTCCAATCCAGGACCCCTCAGACAGTCGGACATTCTCACAATCATCTGGGACCACTGGCTCCTAACCACTCACCTGCCTGCCTACCTGATTGCTCCTAACCACTCTGCCTGCCTGCCTAATCACCCCTAACTGTTCTCCCCTGCTGGCCTGATTGCCCCTAACTGCTCTCCCCTGCCAGCCTGATCGCCCCTAACCGCCTCTGCCTCAGCCCCCACCACCGTGGCTTTGTCCAGAAGGATGTCCAGAAGATGTCCGGTCTAATTAGCATATTACCCTTTTATTAGTATAGATTTGAGAGAGAGAGAGAGAGAAAGGAGAGGGAGAGAGGGAGAGAAACATCAATGAGAGAGAAACATCAATGGGCTGCCTCTTGCATGCCCACCACCAGGGATAGAGCCTACAACCCAGGCATGTGCCCCAACCAGGAATCGAACCAGCGACCTCTTGGTGCATGGGACAACTCTCAACCTACTGAACTACACTGGCCAGAGCATCTGGGCCATCTTTCATGTCTGCGTTCAGCTTTTGCCCAAATAACTACTATAGCCTACTTGCTAGTCTCACTCCTCTATTTTGTCCCCCTCCAGTTTACAGCTCTCAGAGTTCTCTTTTGAAACTTAAAATCTGACAGTCACTCCACAGTTTAAACCCTGTAATATCTTGCTCCTAGAATAAAATCCAAACTCCTTACTGTGGCAAGCAGTGTGTTGTATGAGCCAGCCCCTGTCAACATCGCTGGCCTCATCTCCCAAGCTCTCCCTCAGTCACTGTGCTTTGGTCACCGGCACCTTTACTGGTCCTTAGATACACCAAACTCTTTTCTACCTCGGGGCCTTTGTGCATTCTGCCCTCTGCTTGGAATGCCAGCTTCTTCTCATTCTCCAGGTTTCATCTTAAATATCACCTTCTCAGGAAAGTCTTGCATGATTTCAAACAGGGATCAGCAAACAATACCCATATCCCAAATCTAGCCTACCACCTGTTTTTATAAATAAAGTTTTATTGGAACACAGCCATGCCCATTCATTTCCATATTGCCTCTAGTATGGTTGCTTTCCCACAATGGCAGAGCTGAGAGTGGTGACAGAGACTAGATATCCCTCAAAGCCTAAGATACTTACTGTCTGGTCCCTTACAAAGTTTGCTGACCCCTAATCTAAAGCAATTCTCTCTTCCCAAGTTTATTGTATCACTACACTTACTGATTTCATGGCACTTACAACAATCTGTAATCATTTTGGTTGCTGCTGTTGTTGTGTGTTGTCTCAAAGAAAATTCAGAGACAAAAGCATTTAGAAATCAAACAAAAATTTACCTGAAAAGAAGTTTCACAAGAGGATCCGGGTTTCAGAACAATAAATCACCAAATGAAAACTATAACAGATACTTCGAGGGGAAAAATTACCGAGGGTTAGCCTGTCCAAGGTAGGAGAGACAGCAATTTTCTCACCTGATTTTTATATCTGCAAAGGTAATCACATGTTTTCAGATGGGGTTTTGCAGACATGAAATAAAGTCGTTTTTGTTAGGGAGTGAGTAACTCACAGGAAAGGCCCAAGACTTCATTTATTTGGGGATTTAGAGCTAGACAGAAGAGCCCTGGTTTTTCTCAGGGTACAAAGTGCTTTTATAATCTGATTTTAGACAAAAATGGCAAAGACTCAGTTTGGCTTCCAGAAATTGTGTGTTCCCCAACCCTCCACCCCACTATTAGAACATAAGGCAACATTATAACCTTCCCCCTGAGGGAGATACTGTGTCTGTATGGCTTACCTCTGTGTTACCAATACCTAGCACAGGTCTGACTCATATCAGGGAAAATTGTAAAAGACTTGAAATAGAAA